CCCAATTTGCCATGACAGTGACCTCCATTGAAGACACCGCAAGCTCCAAGTGGACAAAAACCGATCTTAAAATGGGCCACTAAAAACAATATAAGTTCAATGACGAGAAAATTTCAAATACTCAGATATGGAAAAAATGGGAAATTAAAAATGTACAGGGTTAAAAAAACAAATTTTAACCATATAATAGAGCATAAAAAATATTGCGAAGGATGGGGAAATAAATGTAGAGGATCTTGCCCTTTAAAAACCCCAAAAAAGTATCTGCGTCTGCTTGGAAAAAGATGGGTGGATAAGAGAACCCTTTAAAACTAGGATGCCCCGCCCATGATTAAACCCCCCCCCAAATTTTTGTTCTCTCTGCTGGAAAATGCTGTACACTAACTGCCCCATCAAAGGGAGGGGGAAACGCTGACCCGGAGATGTACAAAGAACTTTCACGGCACACATAAGTCGACAAGGCCCTAAAATTGGGAAAGGTTGAACTCCCCTTTATTTTTATTCCCTGGAATGCAGGGAGAGAGATACATGTAATATATGCTTGGAAAATCTTAAGGGGTTAATATCAAACTTTCCCCCATGAAAATCACTCCCCATGAAAACAAAAGACTCAGAAGAGATGCAACTTTCCCCAATGACAAGGGGGTGCCACGAGTCACTGAGAGACAACACATAATGTAGGGGCCAAGACTGTTAACTGCCTCCGCAACATAACGGGTTACCAAAAAAGACCCCCGGTGTCTTCAAGAAGGCACGGACAGGCACCCAAAGTCAGTACCTGACCTGCCGGGCTTGGTTGTACATCATTTGTGTGCGGCCGCAGTAACAGCCTGGTTGGTCAGACCTGATCCCCCAGAAAGGGCCCGGTCTCGACTGGGGCACGGAGCGTTGACCCCCCAAACTTTCTGGGTAACTCCCGGGATATTTACATATGTACATATTTTTTCAAATTTGGGTCTCCCACGAGGCAGGGTGACCCAAAAAAGAAACACTTTCACCATCATTCAACACTTTCATCATCATTCACACAATCACTGTCTTTGCAGAGGTGCCTGGATATGACAGTTTAGATGTCACTCCAAACAGCCAATATCCTAAACCCCTCCTTTAAAGTGCAGGCATTGTACTTCCCACCTCCAGGACTCAAGTCTGGCTAACCAGTTTCCCTGAATCCCATCACAAAATATTACCCTGCTCACACTCCAACAGCTCATCAGGTCCCAGAAACTACTTGCCTCTATTCAGTCCTATCTAACATGCTCACACATGCCTGCTCCATGTTCAAGCCCCTTGCATACAAAACCTTTTACCCTCTCCCTCCATCCTTTCCTAGGATGACCCCTACCCCTCCTCCCTCCACCACAGATTATACACCCTCCAAGTCATCCTATTTTTCTCCATCCTCTCTAAATGACCAACTACCTCAATAATCCCTCTTCAGCCCTCAGAATAATACTTTTTGTAATTCAATACCTCCTGATTTCTAAACTACGAATTCTCTGCACAATATTTACACCACATGTTGACCTTAAACACATCTCCACTGCCTCCAGCCTCCTTGCTGCAGCATTCACAACCTGTGCTTCACACCCATAAAAGTGTTGGTACCACTATACTCATACATTCCCTTCTTTGCCTCCATGGATAACGTTTTTTCCTTCATCAATTCTATGGTTAACCTCGTCCTTCATAAACCCATACGGGTGTCCCGTAGCTCAATCGCTAGTGCATTCAGCTCACACACTGAGGTCCGGGCTTCGAATCTCCTCTGGTACGGCTGGAAAATATTAGGGATGTGTTTCCATAAGACACCTGCTGTCCCTGTTCACCCATCAGTTTAAAATGGGTACCTGGGTGTTAGTCGACTGGTATGGGTCGCGTCCTGGGACAAAACTGGTTTAATTTGCCCAAAATGCTCAGCATAACAAGTGGCTTTCTGTGTAGTAGTATGTCACTGATGTCAGCTAGGCCTGTATACCATGTACATGTACTTGTAGTAAATAAAGATATTATTATATACAGTGGACCCCCGGTTAACGATATTTTTTCATTCCAGAAGTATGTTCAGGTGCCAGTACAGACCGAATTTGTTCCCATAAGGAATATTGTGAAGTAGATTAGTCCATTTCAGACCCCCAAACATACACGTACAAACGCACTTACATAAATACACTTACATAATTGGTCGCATTGGGAGGTGATCGTTAAGCGGGGGTCCACTGTATTATTATATCTGTTGACAAATCTACTCCCAAATATCTGTGCACATTCACTTCTCCATACTCCCTCCCTCCAATATAATATCCAGTTTTTCTGGATATTATGTTTGATATCATTTGATACCCTCATCATTTTACCTTTTACACACCCTCCCAAACTCATCCACTAACTTTTGCAACTTCTCTTTAGAATCTTCCAAAAGCACATTATCATCAGCAAAAAGTAACTGTCAACTCCCATTTTGTATTAGCCTAGTGACATATTTTTGCATGTGTTGTTTGTACGGCAACAGTTACATTGGTGATAGTGTTATTACTGTATGATGTTATATGTAATGTAATAGGGGCTTCAGTTTGTCTAAGATTCCACAGAATACCAGTGAAACTAATTTTATAATAGGTCCTTTGTAATGCAGTCTTCAAGCTCACTTAAGCATCCTTGATGTTGCCAGAGCATCAGAAGATTTGCAGTCCTCACATTATTTAATGAAAAATCCATCAGTAATATGGGTGATATGTCCAGACCAGGGCTGTGTAAGAGAATAGTTGAGTGCAGACTGACTGTATTAAGTCCTTTTATGATACAATATAAGCAGATTACATTGCTACCAATACAACCTTAGTGATTTATATTGTATAGAATGTTAGCAGGTATTCAAGCCATTAAAAAAAATTCCCTACAGGCCCATTCATAGATGAAATGTAACATTAAAGATTACTGCGTTCTGTCTACTTACCATCTAGTTTTTACATTCATGGTGGGGCAAGATAAACTTGTTGGGGTCATACAGTGAGGAAGCTAGAGGCAGTGGATTATTATAATCAAAAAGAAGCGCTAAACCACAAGGGCTAATAAAGGCAATGGAGACATGATGTTCGAGAGGAATGTGGTGTGTGAATATTATACAGAGAATTCACGTATAATTGAGAGGGCTGAGGAGGGGTTGTTGAGGTAGTTCAGGCATGTAGAGAGGATGGAGAGGAATAGACTGACAAAGAGGGTGTATAAATCTGAGGTGGATGGTAGGAAGGGTAGAGGTCCTCCAAGGAATAATTGGATGGAGTGAGTAAAAGAGTATTCGAGTTTTAGGGCCTCAAGCATCCAGCAGGCTTGTGCGAGTGTTTGATAGATGTGAATGGAGATAAGTGGTTTTAAATGGATGTGCTGTTGGGGTGTGAGCAAGGTAACTTTTGTGAAGGGGTTCAGGGAAACTGGCTAACAGGACTCAAATCCTGGAGGTGAGAAGGACAGTGCCTGCATTCTTCAGCAGGGGTGTGGATATATGCAGTTTGGAGGAGCATCTGAATTGTGTCTGCATGCCTCTGGCAAGACAGTTATGGAGTGAATTATGCTAGTGTTTCTTTTTTGGGTCACCCTACCTCAGTGGGAGATGGCCAGTGTGTCAAAAAAAAAAATGAACATAGGAAAGAGCAAGGTGATGAGAGTATACAACAAAAAAATTAAGGAAACAATGGATATCAGATTAGAAGGAGTATGGAGGAAGCAAATGTAACTGACAAGAGAGAACAAGTGGGTGGTGCCTCCACAGATCTTATCTATGGAGGCAAAACAGGCAATGTACCAGAGTATAACGGTACCAACACTCTTACATGGGTGTGAAGCATGGGTTTTTAACATTGCAGTGAGGAGACCAGAGGCAGTGGAGATGTCGTGTCTGAGGGCAGTGTGTGGTGTGAATATTATGCAGAGAATTTGTAGTCTTGAGATTAGGAAGTGTGGGGTTACTAAAAGTATTATCCAGAGGGCTGAGAAGGAGTTATTGAAGTGGTTTGGACATTTAGAGAAGGAGAAAAACAGGATGACTTACCTGGAGTGTATAAACCTGTAGTGTAGAAAAGGAGGCATAGGGGTCATCCTAGGTAAGGTTAGAAGGGAAAAGGTCTTGTATGCAAGGTGCTTGGACATCCAACAGGTGTGTGAATGTGTTAGATATGAGTGGAGTCAAATGATTTTTATGACTTGATGTGGTACTGGAGTATGAGCAAGGTAACATTTATGAAGGGATTCTAGGAGACCAGTTAGCTGGACTTAGAGTCCTGGAGGTAGGACATACAGTGCTTGCACTCTGACTAAGGGGTGGGGATATGCACTTTGCATGAGCATCTGAACTGTAATGTCCATATGCCCCTGACCCCTGGCAAGACAGTGATGGAGTGAGTGATGGTGAAAGTGTTTCTTCTTTTTAAGGTCGCCCTACCTTGGTCGGAGAAATATTATTATTATAATCAAGGGGGAAGTGCTAAACCCATAGGATTATACAGCGCCGGGGAAGGGGGGGATGTGGAAGGCATTCAAGCTTAATTCAGGGAACTGGAGCACAGATCCAATTCCCTAAATCAAAAGCCCCTCACCAACATCAAGGAACCTTCCGTGAGGGGTTGGTCGAAGAAGCTGGCATAAAAAATAATAATTATACTGTAATAATAATAATAAGGTAGCTTATGAAGGAATTCAGAAAAAGCAGTTAATCAGACTTTAATCTTGGAGGTGAGACAGGCAATGTCTTCATTCTGGAGGAGGCTTGGGGATGTTGCAGTCAGTCATGTGAATTGTGGTGTCTGTACACTTTTGACAAGACAATGACTAAATGGTGATTTTTTTTTTTTTTTTTTTGGGGGGGAGGGGGGAGGGAGGGAAAGGCTGTACAGCCATATTACCATAACTGTTAGGTGTTAGTTCTGAATAATTGTTTATATTCATCCCTGGCATCAGAAAAGTTTTATCAAGTGTTGAAGGTATAAGTAGTATGAATAGTCAGGTTTCATTAAATATCTTTAATTTACCTTTTCTTTCACTTTTCCATTGCATCTTTGTGAAATCCTCTCCAACCTATTAAAATTTGAAAATGGTTAACACGGTAGAAATAATGATGAAACTCTTATTCCTTATAATATTCACAAAATTGTTCAACACTTACTATTTAAAACTGGTTTAATAGTCAGGAATAATCTTTCTTTTTTTTATCCGTTTACCTTGCCCTTCACATTCTGATTTGCTTATCTTATTTTCACATTCCTGGTTTGTTTTTGTTGTACTGTTGAGAGCACTACCAAGTTTTGATGTGTCACTGCTGCTTGTCTGATTACGCTTTCTGGTCATAATACACTTCTGACTAGTTGTGTGGTGTGTGCTGTTACAATTCTGATCAGGCTTTGTTGTGTTGATTGTGCAACCTTTTAACAATTCTTCTGATTTGGTGCTGCTTTTGCATATCTGATTTGTGTTTGCTCTCTTGTCACAAGTCTTGTCTGGTTTTGGTTTTGTTGTCCTTCTACCATGTGTCTGATTTGAATTACCATCTGTACTGCTGATTGACTGATTTAATTTTGGTATATGATCTGTAGGGTTAGCAAGAGGAAATTTAGATACATTTTTATGACTTATTTCTGCAATGAGTGATTTCATGACACCTAAATTCTCCCGGTGGTGACGCTCCCACATGCACGTCATTGCCTCAAGTCGCTTCGACATCTGAGTCTGCATCTCAATCTGAACTTGAAGTACCTTACAGATCTTTTCTCCAACACTTGCCATACTCACATCAGATTTTGAACCTGCTGCTTTAATCACTCTCTGATTTTCTCTTGCCATATCTCTCAGTAGAACTGTTAAAAATTATTTACATATTAATAAGAAAATCGAAAAAACCGCGCAATTTTTTTAATTGGGTGATATATTGAATTTTAAAAATGTTTCATTTCACATGCTGACTTTGAATTTGTAATCACACAGATGAATACAGAAGGTAATTATCATAGGTTTCCACATAAACACTAGACCATAATAAAATTTCTACCTACTACTGAGATTCAAATTTGAAAAGTTACCTTAAAACATACAGAGGAACACATTAGTTTCAAAAGTTTACTTACTTCAATCACACTTACCTAACGCATTGTCCAATTTGTTCTCAAACTTTCCAATGAGGTTTGCTTGGTTTTTGATAGTTTCTTGGGCCTTGTTAATGTCATGATCATTTTCAAAATGCCTAGCAGATTTACTCTCCTCTCCAGTGCACTTTAAGAATAAATGAAAATAAGAGAATTTAATTACAGTATTATGTTGATTAAGGAAATGTAAGAGATGTCCCTATCAAAACTATTATGACAAAATATTTTCCACAATTTTATGTACTGTACTGTGTCAGTAAAGAATATTTACAAAAATGTCATTTGCAAATAGTTTAAGAAATAAGTTTCACAACAATATCAAAATCTTACCAGTTTACCTGAAGATTCTAATGCAGGTTTTGATTTGGCAGGTAATTTCACTGCAGTAACAACATCATTAGGAGGATCTGTTAAAGAATGTGATTCAGGAGCCATTTTCAGATCAGAAGTCACATCATTAGGAGGATATGTTGTAGAGTTTGATTTGGAATATGTCTTTGCTGAAGAATCATCAAAACGATCACTGGCATCATTCAAATCACCATCTTCATAATCTGCTGCACTCTCATCAATATCTTCATCCCCATCATTGAAATTATTAGACTCATCCCAACTAGCCTCATCATCTTTGCCAATATGCCTGTTTGTAGACACAAATTTTCGAATTGCATCAAGGGAGGGACGAACCTTCGTAACCTCCGAAGCATTAACATATGGCATGATTAGATGATAGTACTCAGGCATAGGTCTGGAGTGGGTATAATTATGAGCTATCGCCCACTTATTCAACTGCTCATAAGACCGACACTGGTTAACCAGGTTACGCCATTTCTGGTTGCAGCGTTTCACTGTTACACCATCTTGCTGTCATGAAATAATACTGTAATTAAAATAAAACATGCTAAACAAAGCTATGATAAACTCATAACCAGCCTACCCTTTGCCCTTGAAACAATAAATTTTTTTGTTATAATATTTGGGTGTTTAGAACTTGGAATCCATTTTCCCATAGACTCTCGCATTATAATCAGGATGCATTCCTGAGCCATCATAGTCTATATCTAATTTCATTTATCTTTTTAAGAAAATAAATAAAAAATAATATATAATACTCAGATGAGTTCCTCTCTCTTTACTTCCCTCCATCTTTTTCCCTCTCCCAGTTCATAACCACCCACCCCTCCTCCCCCTTACACATTAATTTCCACCTATTCCACCGTCATATCTGACACAACACAGCAAAGGTGGCAACAACAGGACTTCCTCTACAATTCCCTCCCTTTCTCTTTATAGGATGTGATGCATCACACTTTGCATGTGCTTTCACCCTTCCACTGTTATGGTGGGTATACTGGGTGCCTGGGAATATATGGAAAATTAGTGGTGGGGGTCACTGCAAAATGAACTGCAGTGTGAGTGAGTCAACCTGGCCCACCTTGCTCAAAGACATGTATTAGACAACGCAGTCAAGTTCTCACCCAACACGCTAATGTAATAATTAATTTTACAGTTCCTGACAAATCTCTATGAAACAAACATGACCCCTCCACACTTACAAAAAATGACAATACAACGAATATGAATGCATTCTGAAGAAAAATAAATGAAAAAATTAGTAACAGAAAATAATTTGAAGGAAAAAAGGCAAGTGGTCCGTTGAGGTATCTGTGGAGACAAATAAACATTATCCATGGAGACAAAGAAGGGAATGTATGAGAATATAGTGGTACCAACACTCTTATATGGGTGTGAAGCATGGGTTGTAAATGCTGCAGCAAAGAGGAGACTGGAGGCAGCGATGTCATATCTAAGGGCAATGTGTGGTGTAAATATTATACAGAGAATTCGTAGTGTGGAAATTAGGTGTGGTATTACTAAAAGTATGTCAGAGGGCTGTTGTTGAGATGGTTCGATCATTTAAAGAGAATGGAACAAAGTAGAATGAATTGGAGAGAGTATAAATCTGTAGGGTAAGGAAGGCAGGGTAGGGGTTGTCCTCGAAAAGGTGCATGAGTGTGTTAGATAGGAGTGAATGGATACGAATAGTTTTTGGGACCTGACGAGCTGTTGGAGTGTGAGCAGGGTAATATTTTGTGAAGAGATTCAGGGAGATGGGAAGTACAGTGCCAGCACTCTGAAGGAGGGGTGTTAATGATGCAGTTTAAAAACTGTAGTGTAAAGCACCCTTCTGGCAAGACAGTGATGGAGTGAATGATGGTGAAAGTTTTTCTTTTTCGGGCCACCCTGCCTTGGTGGGAATCGGCCAGTGTGATAATAAAAATAATAAAATTCAGGGAAACTGGTTAGCCAGACTTGAGTCCTGGTAGTACAATGCCTGCACTTTAAAGGAGGAGTTTGGGATATTGGCAGTTTGGAGGAACGTCTAAACTGTTGTATCTGAGCACCTCTGCAAAGACAGTGATTATGTATAAGTGATAATGAAAGTGTTGAATGATGAAACTTTTTTCTTTCTGTTTAGGTTTTTCTTTTTGGGTCACCCAGCCTCAGTGGGAAACAGCCGACATGTTAAAAAAAAAAAATTACATTCAGTTCTTTCTTCTTTTTTGAGGATTTTGTATAAGGTAATTCATAGAACCCTGACATTTGTTACAATATATAAATTTCTGTCTCTTATGACAGGTGTGTTGGCTGTTTTGTTTTGTTGTTAGAGGTCTTAGCAGAATGACTGTTAGATGTATTTTATTCTTACTATTATAGATCCATTTCTCCTTCATTCCCACCTGCCTCGGTGGGAAATGGCCAACGTGTTAAAAAAAAAAAAATTATTGAATGTTCCTGTCTGCAAACAAGTGTTCGTAAGAACTTAACTGGTTTCAAAGTGCCTCATTTATAACTGTACATCATCAAAAGTTGGATCATCTTAAGTCAGGGTCCCACTATACTATATCAGCTATATCTGAGTGGTAATTATGTGACAAGTTTTGTGTTATGACAAGCAGAATGAATAATGATACACAACTTGTTCAAAACTTATCAACAGGTATAAATGCATCTGTTCCATTCAACTTGAGGAAATCCACTTTATTCACATTAGCAATCTCCTCACACTGACAACATAAAGCATTTGAGAAATTACTGTACATGGATTTAGCTTAATAAATTTATCAATAAAAATATTAAGACACTACAATATCCCTATAGAAGTTATTTAAGGGATTGTAGATCAATGATTTCAGGGAAGATATACTGTAGCAGTTTATTATTCAACAAAATAGCTACGGAATGGTAAACTGAGATAGCATAATATTCTTATGCAAGAAGACTGTTGTGCAAGCATTACACGATGAAATATTATGAAGGGGTATAGGTATACAACTTTCATAGCTCAATGGTAGTGCCTTCTGATCACAACTGAAGGTCCCAAGGTCCACCCTGGGTAGGTGGAGACAATGGGCATAATTCCTTACACCTGTCCCTGTTTACCTAGCAGTAAATAGATAACTGGGTGTTTGCCGAGTGTTGTGGGTTGCATACTGGGAAGGAAGAAAGGGGAGGGGCAGTGATGTAAATCACACACTGGACTAGGCTTTGATAAAAGCTATGGTATAGTAGTGTCTCTTCACCTATAAATTCAATGGTGTAAAAAATGAAGTTTCTTAGAGGAAGAGATAAGATAGTAATGGTAGAGAGAGATATATGATAATGTTTACTAGAACAGCTGTTATTTACACAACATTGATAACTCCTACATTAAATGGCACTATTCTCAGTATGACACAGAGATGCAATTAAAAAAGAATTAACAAGTTTAAGCATACCAAAGTCATCAATATTCAGGGCAGTTTTACTTATACCAAAGTAACTTACAAGGCCTGACAGATGGAAAGCTATTTTCTTCCATGTATTTCTTCTATTTTCCCGTGGATTGGTCTCTATGACAAGCTGAACTAGTCGCTCAACTGTAGCCGGGAAGAACTGGAAATTATCAACTTCACCCTTGTCATCTACACGACCTGAATGCAAAATTTTTATAGTTAATGAAAATTCTTGCTTCAGCAGTGAAAATTAATTGGTACTGCAATAGCAGGTACTAAATTTACTACCTCATCATTTTCCACTTGCTATATGTGCTAGATGTTGGTAATTAAAGACCGTTATACAGTATAATGATTAATTTGTTTTAGGGAGAGAAGGACCAGAAACTTACATGAATTTACAAATTTGTTACCTTGTGAGTCATTTTGCTTCCATCATTTACATTGAGACATTTCTAAGGAAGGGGGTAAAAAAAAAAAAAAAAGGGAAATATTCATCATTTACTCCCTAGCTGTCTTTCCACAAGTAAGCAAATATAATAGTTCACTGATGGCATTATACTACCCATCTCCAAAACTCAAATCCAGCTACTTAGTTTCTCTAAATCCCTCCATAAATATTACCTTGATCATTCTCCAATAGCACAAAATCTCAGAGACCACTAAATATGACCTATTATATTCAAATATGACTTCTGGTTATTCAGCTCCTTAACTTTCAAAGCTACCTTAACACAATGGCTATCAGAGTTGGAGGAAAGACAGATAGAACAGAGGAGGAGTAGCACTGCTCATCAGAAACCAGTGGAGTTTTGAGATGGGAGGAATGGACATACATGAAAACAGACAGCTACACAGAAGACACTTAAGACCAGAGTTCCCAAGGTGGTGATATTAGTGATGTACAACCCTCCACTAAAGAGTAAGAGGACAAGACAAGTGTATGATGACAGCAACAGAGCAATGATGGATACACTAACTGAGGTGGACAGAAGGATCCCACATGAGTCATAAGGATGTTAGGAAGTGTTTCTTCAGCCTTAGGGTTACCAGGAAGTGGAACAATCTGGAGAGTGAAGAAGTAGAGGCAAGATCCATACATAACTTTAAGAAGAGGTATGACAAGGATCTTGTAGCCATAAGTGTAAATTACTTACACGCGCGCACACACACACACACGTGCACGCATGCACACACACACACACACACACACACACACACACACACACACACACACACACACACACACACACACACACACACACACAGCATATGGGCGCCTGGCAAACCTCAGAACAGCATTCCGACATCTTAATAAGGAATCATTCAGGACCCTGTACACCGTGTACGTTAGGCCCATATTGGAGTATGCGGCACCAGTTTGGAACCCACACCTAGCCAAGCACGTGAAGAAACTAGAGAAAGTGCAAAGGTTTGCAACAAGACTAGTCCCAACGCTAAGAGGTATGTCCTACGAGGAGAGGTTAAGGGAAATCAACCTGACGACACTGGAGGACAGGAGAGATAGGGGGGACATGATAACGACATACAAAATACTGAGAGGAATTGACAAGGTGGACAAAGACAGGATGTTTCAGAGATTGGACACAGTAACAAGGGGACACAGTTGGAAGTTGAAGACACAGATGAATCACAGGGATGTTAGGAAGTATTTCTTCAGCCACAGAGTAGTCAGTAAGTGGAATAGTTTGGGAAGCGATGTAGTGGAGGCAGGATCCATACATAGCTTTAAGCAGAGGTATGATAAAGCTCACGGTTCAGAGAGAGTGACCTAGTAGCGATCAGTGAAGAGGCGGGGCCAGGAGCTCGGACTCGACCCCCGCAACCTCAACTAGGCGAGTACAACTAGGTGAGTACACACACATACATACATTTTACCTAGGTAGTAGGTTGGTAGACCGCAACCACCCAGGGAGGTACTACTGTCCTGCCAAGTGAGTGTAAAACGAAAGCCTGTAATTGTTTTACATGATGGTAGGATTGCTGGTGTCTTTTCTGTCTCATAAATATGCAAGATTACAGGTAAGTCTTGCTACTTCTACTTACACTTAGGTCACACTACACATACATGTACAAGCATATATATACATACCCCTCTGGGTTTTCTTCTATTTTCTTTCTAGTTCTTGTTCTTGTTTATTTCCTCTTAACTCCATGGGGAAGTGGAACAGAATTCTTCCTCTGTAAGCCATGCGCGTTGTAAGAGGCGACTAAAATGCCGGGAGCAAGGGGCTAGTAACCCCTTCTCTTGTACATATTACTAAATTTGAAAGGAGAAACTTTCATTTTTCCTTTTGGGCCACCCCGCCTCGGTGGGATGCGGCCGGTGTGTTGAAAGAAAGAAGAAGAATATATATATTTACCTAGGTAGTAGGTTGGTAGACAGCAACCGCCCAGGGAGGTACTACTGTCCTGCCAAGTGAGTGTAAAACAAAAGCCGGTAATTGTTTTACATGATGGTAGGACTGCTGGTGTCCTTTTTTCTGTCTCATGAACATGCAAGATTTCAGGTATGTCTTGCTACTTCTACTTACACTTAGGTCACACTACACATACATGTACAAGCACATAT